CGCCGTGATTCAGCACCGCGGCCCGACCCCGCATCGCCGCGCTCGGGGGGCGGCAGCGTCCCTGCCCCCCGCGGCAACTTTGGACCCTGCGGCTGCGCCTCCTGAGAGGAAAATAATATAGAAATACCTCGGGTATCGGGGAGGGAGGGGGCAGGATCCGACCCCGACCCACGCGGCTCACGAGAAGAAAAATATTTACGGAGCCAGAACGGGGACGATTTGTTCGGGCAGTTTTAGGACAGCTTAGTGGACACAGTTTATTTGGATTCGGGCTGCTGGGTGTAGGGATGATCCCTCCACTCCTCATTCCCGCAGGCTAGGCTTGCTCCCAACCCTGCTCCCAGCCCTTGGCTGGCGCGAAACCAAATTCCACAGCGAGCTCCATCTGCACGGGTCGGAACTCGGACTCCGCAGCTTTGCATTGGCGCTGGGAACTTGTGCCAAAGCCAGATGCAACCTGCGAGCACCACTGCGACTTCTGACACGGCTCTAAGTTGGGTCTGTGCTCACATGGGAAGCGTTTTGGGCACAGTCTGGATCCCCGTTTAAGTGGATCCAGAAAGAACCATCCCAGGCTGTACACGGAGCGTTGGGCTGCAAAGATACAATTTAGCCTGCTACAAAAAGCATACTAAAATCAAGCTGCTGCGTTGACATGAAGGCTCTCCTCTGAAGGAAACTCAACATTGCTTTTGTATGTTTAGTTATTTTAAGAATCCATAATTTGCATGAAAATTGGCAGCTCATAGAGATGAGCACAGAAATAGCACAGCTTAATTTTAAAAATACTGACAAACCCTCCAGAGTATACGCGCTGTAATTCTGTACTATCAATTCTCAGAAAGGCACACTAATATTGATCTGGAAAAAGCATTTAAACCGCTGTGCCCCTCAGAGCCTTTAAAACACATTTACAGGGTTCTCAGTGTGCTGATGTGATTTTAAAAGAAAAAAAAAAACAACCAAGGTTTAGCCTGTTTTGTCAGGGAGCCACCACAGCCTCTTCAAGAAGAAAAATCACGACTGTATGTTCTTCAGGAATGGGCTCGTTTTGGCTCCTGAAAGGGGAACAGTGGAAGGATTGCAGACATAGTTCCTCACAAACAGCCCTTATGGGCTGGTAAATGCTGTGCCTCACACCGGGAGTCACATACAACTTTATTGTTCAGCATTTTTATGTGGAAAAGATAAAAGTGGGCTGCAAGCCCTGTCCCTGCTGGCGCTGCTCGAGCAAATGCAAAGGGATTTCAGCAGCTCTGCTGGGGTTGCAGCGAGCCTCAAGTGGCAGGTCCAGCTGGGAGGGAAGGTACTGGAGGGAAGTCCAGTGCTGCTCTCTCCTCCACAGCCACTGCAGCTCGAGAAGCTCTCCCTGCAAAAGCCAGGGCCCATTCCCTGATGAGCAGGTGGCAAAGCATCAATAAGATGAATCCTTCTCTCGTGGCAAAATACAAGGGAGTGGCTTTGTCCTTGCAGCTGGTGGAGCCGGGGCACAGTCAATAAAACACACACTTAGAGGGCCCCAGGCAGGCTCTGAGCCCTGAGCTGCTCCAGGAACACGGTTCTTTCTCAAAAGCTTTGTGAAGGCTCATTGCTTTGGTCACACCTTCAAGAAGTTACCTGATTTCTCTACCATTTGTTTCAAGTGAGCAGCGAAGTGGCTCCCACCAGTGTGAATGATGGGTGGGAGTTGCATATTTGAAAAGGAACTTTGTATATTTTAGTTAGAAAACATTGTTTGTTGGTTTGTTTCTCAAGAGCCCCACAGACCCGTCTCCACCCGATCCGTGTTTCTCTCCCCTGTAACTCCTTCGGGGATGCTCTCGCTTCCCCCGGCAGGAAGGCACCAGGAAGGTACCTCACAACAATTACAGCTGAACTATTTGCAGCACCGCCTGCTGGGGAGGCTGTCACCGGTGTGTCACTTCCCAGCGCTCACGGGCTGAGCTAAATCCATCAGCAACATTCCCCAGTGGTAACTGCTGACGAGGCCCCTGCAGAGACCAAGCCAATCATCTGCCAGAACTCAAAACCTCGGAGTCGTTTCAGGAAAGTAAAAATAATGTTTCAGGCCTCTACTCGAAACCCCCCAGAACCACCCAAAACAAAGCAGCTGCCAACAGAGAAGCACCTGGGTGACAGGATGGGCCAGGGCAGAGCTGCAAAGGAGGAGCAAGAATTGCAGGTGATGAGTTCACCAAAGGCGTGGCAGAGCAAAGCCAAACGGATCCGGTGCCTCTCCCAGGCTCTCTGGTGCTCCTTTCCCTCCTCACCTTTCCATCCCTGATGCTCTAAGCTGACCCTACCAGAAAATGTGCTGTTTTCTAGATATTTGGGTTCCAGTTACAACTCAGAATGTCTTTGACGTGTCACCTGCAAACAATCTTTCAGGGAGTTTTAATTATCTGGAAAATCTAAATATTTTAACAGTGACTTAAAATTCATTTGAGCTGAACACAAAGATGACACACAGTGACATTTTTAAAGACCCCAGGGTTAACACTACTAATTAACAGCATTAAACAGTCATCACTCAGTCAATTCTATGATCACAGAGCAAATGTTACAAATGTGAAGCTAATGGAGAACATAAATTCCACCTTTAAACAAAAACCCAAAACAGGGATCTGGTTTTAAATATTTTTGGCAGCAAAAGTATTTTTACTATGATTACAAGCAAACAAGCCCAAATCCTGAGAACTGGGACAGCCACCTTCCCTTGTCAGACAGCCAAACCTGTAGTCTTTTTATCTGCTGCCCCTTGATAAATGGCAAGGATTCCCTCTCCTCCCCCATCCTCTCCTAAGAGCAGTTGCTGACTGTGCAGCCTGGGAATATAGACAATAATCTACTTTCCAGACTCCACAGGGAACATTTCAAAGTCAGTAAAACCAAGGATTTAAAATCTTAATTTAATCCTCTACCACGTTAAAATATTATACCTTTTTTTGTCTTAATTTTTTTGAGTTTATCAGGATGTAGTTCAGCAAACTAGCATTTAAACAACCTGAAACCCAGTTTTCCTAAGAGCCAACTCTGTAAATACAATTAACTTCAATGATAGGGTTTGGACCTCGATGATCCTGGTGGGTCCCTTCCAACTCAGGATATCCTGATTCTATGAATTTTTAGGAGCTCACTGACACAGAATCTCTTGAGGTGCCTCTTGATCAACACGGGCGCATCCCAACACGTTTTTATGTGTGATATGAAACTGTGACTCCCTGTCATTGCCTGGTATTAAATAAACCAACGAGCCTATGTAAGTCTCCAAGCAAGACAGCAGCAGCCCAGACACTACTGTGTTGTAGGCAGAGGAATTTTAAATCAGAAGATGTTTCCTACTAGGGACAAGTGGCCAAAGATTTAACACAGAGGGTGACTCTGACACAGGGACCAGCACCGACACCTCAGCCAAGGCGCTGGATGTTCAATCATGGAGCGGTTTGGGTTGGGCGGGACCTTAACGCCCACCCACCCAGTCCCACCCCCCGCCATTCGGGTGAGGCGATCCCGGTGACCTGGCGGTGCTTCACGCAGGAATTCGGGGAGGTTCTGAAGCCCAACCCCCCCGCTCAGGGTCAGCTGCGACACCCCAGCAGGTGCTCAGGGGCTTTTTACAGTCGCAGCTGCACCTCGTGGTCACCCCTTGTGGCAATCTGATTTGCCCATAAACACGGAGTGATTAACTGCACAGAAACAGACACCATTCAAGGACAAAACAACTTTCAGGAGCAGAACAGATTAATTAAAGCTTCAAATAAAGACAATTTTTTTCCCTAGGCAGTTCAAATTTTCTGTTTTTGTAACAGGGAAAAACGATTTGTTGCCCCCTGGAGAAGATAAAGTTCTGTTTAATGTTAACAAATAAATAAACAAGGAGACCTTGCTTGAGTGTGCTGAGATGAACAAGGAGCCCACAGAACTTCACAAACTAAACCACTGTGCTGACCTATGAAACCAGAAGATGTGTGATGTGTTTAAACATAATCTGTGATTAAAACCCATCCAGTTCCAACCCCCTGCCATGGGCAGGGACACCTTCCACTATCCCAGGTTGCTCGAAGCTCCATCCAACCTGGCCTTCTAACCAACACTTCCAGGGATGGGGCAGCCACAGCTTCTCTGGGCAGCCTGTGCCAGGGCCTCACCACCCTCACAGGGAAGAATTTCTTCCTAATATCTAATCTAAACCTCCTTTCAGTTTGAAGCCATTGCTCCCTGTCCTGTCATTACATGCCCTTGTAAACAGTCTTTCCCCATCTTTGCTGTAAGTTCCCTTCAGGTGCTGGAAGGGTGAAATTTTTCCCCAGAGCCTTCTCGTTTCCAGGCTGGACAATCCCGGTTCCCTCAGCCTTTCCCCACAGGAGAGGTGCTCTATCCTTCCGATCAACTTGGTGGCATCCTCTGGAGCTGGCGTTCACCAGGTGGAGTCCAAGCTCAGACATCTCCTTGAGCACATTTTTTCACAAGCCGCCGCCAGTCCAATACGCCACTTCAGCCTTTAACTCAACACAAAAACTTTACTGCCCGGAAGTTTACCGACCAATTAACAACCCGACGACGGGCTAAACGCTTCGCTTCCGGCACGGTGCGTTTCCTGGCGTTGTTTAGAGCCGCTGCTCGGTGTGACTTGTGCGATGTCTGAGGCGAGACGCGCTCCTCGCAGCCTGGCTGGGAGCGAACCCTCTGTACCCCGGGGGGGGTCACCTCAGCGCTGACACTGCACCCACCGCACTGCCCTGAGCCACTCCCCGGCCCCGGGCGTGACAGACCCGGAGGGGCCGCTCCCAGGCCCCAGGGGTGGCCCAGCCCGATCGCAGAACCCGGAGGAGCCGCCGAGGCCTCCCCAGGCCCGGCACCCCCTCAGGCCTTGCCGTCGCCATGGCAACGCCGCCCCTGAGGCCCCCGCGCCGGGCTGCCCGCCGCGCTGCCTGACCCACCACACCCCCGCCATCCCCGCTCCCCGGGTTAACTCCCCACGCGCCGCCGACGAGGAAGCGCTTCTCGATCCCACTGGGAACACCGGGAGCAGCGGCGGGCACAGAGCGGGGGCTGCCCGCGGCGCCGCCTGACTGAAAAAAAAAAGACAACAACAACCCTCCGGAGGTTCGGCGGAGGTTCCGGGGCGGGGTGTCCGCGGCGCTGCCTGCGCGGACGGCGCGAGGTCCCGGCGTGCCCGCGGCGGTGCCTGTGTGGAAGTGCGGCCGGGGCCGCCCAGGGCCGGGGCCGGCGCTGGCGGGGGGCCCGGGGGGCCCGGCCGGGGGGCGGCGGGACGGGCAGCACGACCAGGAGGAGGAAGAGGAGGAGGAGGAACAGCAGGAGCAGCAGCAGCGGGAGCGCGGCCCGGACGCGATGGACCAGTGCGTGACGGTGGAGAGGGAGCTGGAGAAGGTGCTGCAGAAGTTCTCGGGATACGGGCAGCTCTGCGAGCGCAGCCTGGAGGAGCTGATCCAGTACGCGGGAGGGCTGCGCAGGGAGATCCTGCAGACAGAGAGTACGTGGAGAGACCCCTCCCCCGCACCCCTCCTTCCCTCCCCTGCGTCTCCCCGGGGGGAACCCCCAAAATTTTGGGTGTTGTGGCCCCAAAACTTCGGGCTCTGTGGGGTGGGGACCCTTCCAGGGAGAGCCCCTGCCCCGAGGGTTCTGTGCTGCGGGGGCTGAGCCAGGACCACCCCACGGAGATTTGGGGCTTTTCTGACATGGAAAAGTTAAAAAGTGGGAGTGGGGGAGGTTTGGGTTGGGTATTGGGAAAAGGTTCTTCACCCAGAGGGTGGTTGGGTGCTGGAACAGGCTCCCCAGGGAAGTGGTCACAGCACCAAGTCATCCAGAGTTCAAGAAGGATTGGCATGCTACTCTCAGGCACACGGTGTGACTCTTGGGGATGGTCCTGTGCAGGGCTAAGGGTTGGACTCGAGGATTCTTGGGGGTTCCTTCCAACTCAGCATATTCTGTGTTATTCTGTGATGGGTCTCGGCCCTTCCAGGCCTTCCCTGCCTTGTCTGTGCTGCCCAAGAGGTTCGTTTGTTCCCGGTCAGCAGGTCTGGCGTGACCCTAGTGAGGGTGTTCATAACCCTTGATGTTGGGTGACAAAGGGGTTGGTCACCCCGGGGGAAACACAGGGCCGGCCTGACCTGTTTGCTTTTTTTTTTTCCTCACTCGTATTTATTTTATTTTCTTTTTTCTTTCTCTTTTCCTATGTCCCCTAAGTTGTGTTCCTTTGCTTGGGGGGGAGGGTTTGGCGGTGTTTAGGGTAAAGCCACAGCACACAGCAGGGAGTAAATACCGGCCCTGTCCGCGTGTCAGCTGGTGTTGGGCACTTGCTGGGGCTGTAAACACGGGACATGTAAAGGTTGTGAAATCCCAGAGGTGGAGGCAGTGCCGTGTTTTGTTGATGGAGTGGGAGGGAGTGGAGAGGCAGCTGAAGTGATTTACCCAGGACCACGCAGGAAGCCGAGGATTAAAAATAGGAACTTACAGGCTCCTGAGCCCAAACTTGAGAGCAAATGTGCTGCTGCTCTGCTTTTTGCTTTTGTTTGGTTCAAAGGAAACGTGTTTGCTGTGGTTCTTGTGCAAATACAGGTGCAAAGCTCAGTCAGGAGTGTGGATAATTCCAGGAACTCCAATAGGAGTGTGCTGGAGCTGCTCCGTTTGTACACAGCAGTTTCTATGGACAGCAAACATGGAATTCTGATTCCAAGGCATTTGTTTGGGATGAAAAAAAGTTTGGTCTTTCTGACATTGTTTTGAACTGTGTTTCAAACTGTTGTTTGTGCTGTTTGAAACAGTCTGGGCTTGGGCATTGAGGACAGTCAATAAAATGTGTGTCTTCACCACCTGACCTGGCCTGGAATGCTCCTGGTGTGACCCTCGCACTTGTATTGGCCTTTGTTGGGCTGTAGAGGTTTGTCTGGGAGAATCCCATTGCAGGTCCAGAGCTTTTACTCACATTGTGATAAAATTAAAAGGTTCCAGTGTGTGATTCCTTCCGGGTCCTTGTTGGGTTTTCCATCCAGGCTTGGATTAGCAGTTTTTGGGGCTGTCCAGTGAAGGCCCTGGAAATACTTTCAGCACTTACCAAGTGATGATGCTGTCCCAGAGAGCACCTTGCAAACTGAGCTTTCTTTTAGTAGAATGAAGCCAATATGTTATTAGTGCACCCTTAAACATCTGGGGACTCTTCAATTTTGGCATCTGAGGGTGAGCTGGCTTCGTAGGTGGCAAAATTCTTCTTTTTTTTTTTTTTTTCCTTTAACATGTTATTTATAACTTTCTAACAAGAACAGGTATTTGCAGCTTTTATACACTGTGTCCTGAGGATTTTTGAAAATTGGTAGTGTTGAAAACAGCCAGATATCTCAATGTGGAGCTCTAATTTAGGGGTATGGACTGCAGAAATACGCTTTAGTATGCAATTTTAAAGGAAAAAAGGAAGAGAAATGAAAACCCTCACTGCTGAAGAAGAAGTTAATGCTGTAGGACAAGATCTGAGAGCAAAGATGCATGAAAAGACCTTAAATAGGCAGTGGATATAAAAAGGAAGTGGGTGGGGACAAAGAAACCATTAGAATCTGCTTTAACCTCTAAACTGTGGGGTTCCCTCCCCCCTCCAGTCCCTTAAAATGTCTTCTTTCATGTTAAAGCCTGAGGACAGACCAGCCCTATCTGTGCTCAGTCCTGTGAGCGGGAAGGCAAAGTTTGTTTTTCTTCTCCCTTCCCCTCATACATCTGTCTTTCTGGAGCCGCCAAGGCAGGGCTGCACGTTCCTGGATGGTATAAATGTGTCTGGCTGAGTAAACTTGGCTTTGGACTCTGCTTTGTGCCCAGTGTCTGCTGGCCAGTGTATTTATTTCTTTTTTTAATTGTGACTGTACGTGCAGGGCTGTGGTCTCCTGTGAACCCCGAAATACCAGGAGGGCTGGTTCCAGGCTTTCTCCTGCTGATTTTTTACAAGCAGCTCGTAGTTTGGTTGAAGCTGGAAGAGAGGGGTGCAGAGGGGAAACCTTTTACAGCTCTGATGACTTTTCCTGTGTAGACATTTTCATTGATTTACAGGAGTTGGTTTCTGCTGCAGTAAGTGTCAGGGGCCAGTAATTCACTTATTTGCTTGGCGTAAAAGCAGTGAGTTGTTTGGGTTTTAGCTTAATGGCTCTTCTTGCAAAAAAAACTCCAGAAGTGTATTTTAGCTTCTCTGTTCATTGCAGAATGAGTGTTTCCATTTTGCGTGTTGTGTAATCTCTGGCTGATCATTTTGTGGTGGCAAAAGCCACGAGATAGTTAAAGATCCTTCATGTGATTTTACACGTCTGTCATAAAAATTAAACAGCAACTGAGAAATAGGGATTATTCTTAAAATAATTTGAGGAGGTGAACTCCATGTAATAGTTGAGTGAATTTTTAATTTTTAATTTGGGATGCACAGAGTCACAGAATTGACTGTTTCAATCCTTATTACTCCTCACTCATCCACTAGAAAAAAAAATAGCCATTTGACCGGGAGGTGATCCTTGGCTTCATGGGACTGGAGGGAGTTAAAGCTTTTTTCTTTCTTAAAAGCTGTGGCGGTTGCAAAAATGCTGCTGAAGCTTCCTCAGCTGGGGATTGTGGGGCTGGACAGGAGCTGTTTGCTTGGTTAGAGGTGAATTGAGATAGTTCAATGTGCAACAACAGAGGGGAAGGTATCTAGAAAAAGTGTCTGTGGAATCATTATCCATCCCTTGTGATCACAGTTTTTTCTGGATTTCCTTTGCTGTCTCCAAAAACTGTGCTCTTAATACGCTGCTGAAACAAAAAAAATGTGTTAAAATATGAAATCAAAAACGAACAAACTTAAAAAGCGAACACATTTTCCATAAAATCCTCCTTCTAAAGAGATATTTCGATGACTTTGGTTTTTGCACATGAGAGCTTTGGGCCCAGAATACCAGGGAGGCATTTCTGGGCTTCTCTCCCACTTAAAGTAACCTTCCTGCAGCTGAAGGCTGCTATGTCTGTGTCGCTAAAGGAAAAAACTCTTCATTTAGAATGAACTTTGTGGAAGGAGAGACCTTCGGAGGTAAAATTCTCTTTGTATTTTTGAATCAAAAGCAGGAAGAAAGGACTGGGGTAAAGCACTGAAAAATGATTTTTTTTTTCCCCGAGCAATGTTTGATGCAAAGCACAGAGGGTGTAAACTGTAAAGTGCTGTGATGGGGCTTGTAAACCTTCCCTGTTCATTATTTTGTTCACAGAATGGGTTGTTGGACATCAGCTAAAAATGTCACAGTTCCTAGAGAATAAATCTCATAACAATGTCCACTGCTTCTTATCTGTAGAGGGGAACTGGAGGCTGGTTGGCTGAACTTCCAGGGGTGTTTCCACGAGTCAGGAAGCAGAAGTTTGATACAGCTCAAACACAGAGTCCAATAGAAGTGGGTGGTTTGTGGGGCGGGAATTAACTGGACTCTGATTAATCCACATTTTGCTTTCACCTTGTTGTAGTTAAAGGTGATGTTCTCATGTACCTTCAGGGTCTGTCTGAAAGAGAACTGATCCTATAGTAGCTTCAGCAGCTTTCTGTTATTCTGTTATTCCCTGAGACATCTGTGGATTGGGTGTTTCTTTGAGATGTTTATTCGTATACTGTGACTGAGACACATGAGAACTTAACATTAATTTTTTAAACTGTTGCCCTTGTTCACTGTTACTGTACACCCAGCTGGATTCCTAATTCCCCAGGTGAGTTTTCACAACAGGTGAATTCCTGTCTTTCTGCCTCCTTTTACACTGATCTTGCTTTGCAAATACTCCCTGGATTGCATTTCTTTCTTTTAATACCACTTTTTGTCTTTATACGTGGCATATTAAGAGATTGGATGTTACCATTTGTCTGTAGCAAAGTGAGTAATTTTCCTCTCTTTTGTCTAGATCAAGATGGAGACTTGTCAGGGACGATTTCACTTGTTATGACACAGTGTTGTAAAAGAATAAAAGACACAGTCCAAAAACTGGCCTCCGACCATAAGGACATTCACAGCAGTGTATCCCGAGTTGGAAAAGCCATTGATAAGGTATTTATTTTGTGGTTTGATTGTATTATAGCATTAGTTCTGTGGTGTGTGCTCTGCTTTAGAAAATCTGGATTTGTGCTACAGTCAATCTTAACTAAATCATCCTCAGAACTACAGAAGCAGAGGTGATTCAGGGGGCTGTACAGTACTTGCTTTCAGAACTCACTGCAGACAGAGTATTCCTTCTGGGGCAGCTCAGATCTTCTTATTTCTGAGAGAACACTCCCTATTGATACTACAAGACTTAGTATGTTTTGTGTTTTATCGGTTTAGCAGGATGTTTGTTTCAGTATCTGTCTCGGTAAGAAATACTGTGGTTTATATATATAATGTTTACTTAATTGTCAGTAGCAGGTAACTCAGAAGTGGCATTTTGTTCTGGAAAGCAGGACAAGTGGCTGCCCCATACCTGGAAGTGTTCAAGGCCAAGTTGGACTGGGCTTGGGCCAACCTGGTCTAGTGGGAGGTGTCCCTGCCCATGGCAGGGAGTTGGAATGAGGTGATCTTTAAAGTTCCTTCCAACCCAAACCATTCTGTGATTCTGTAAGATAAGAGAATTTTTTAAGAAAGGCAGTTTGTGCATATTTCAGGGGTGTTGTTGGTTTTGGGGCTTAATTTTATAACACAGCCTTAATGTGAGTAGAGTAGATTCAACATCTTGTAGTCTGTGTATCTATGCCATAACCAATAGGGCAGCTTATCTTTGGAGCTTTGCATATGAGATGTTCTGAGATGAATTCCAGGTTCAAGAATAACTGGGATCTGAATATTTTTGTAGGTAGATATTAACAATTCTTTGAAATGATACTAAAGTGGTGCTATATGTATACTTTCAGGCCATGCTTTTCTCCGTCTGTGTTCTTTTCTGTATTCAGGGAGTCTTGTGCTTTAGAGGCTCCCTGTATTCAGGGAGTCTTTTTTGGACATTCTTGTGATAGTTTCACATCAGAACATGCCTCTGTTGACAGGATCTAAACATTTGGTTTGAGGTGCACCTTATAATCTTATTAAGGAAGATTCTGTAAATGAATCTTTTCACCTGGACAAAGACATTTGCAGCATTACCCGATACTGATTTATCCTTTGGGAATCTCATTTAAGCTTTGTTAGTAATGATAATCTGTTAAAGCACAATGTTACAATAGTGTGATGAAGGAACAAAGTACTTAATGCTGCAGATTGTCCATGAAACTGTTGTATTTTTTGTTTATATGTACGGCTGACCATCATGGAGAGCTCAAACTTTGTAGTAATAGCTTTAATCCACACGTCACTTATCCAAAGCTTAAGGATGCATCTATCTCAAATCCTTGCTGCTGTACCTAAACCAATTAACTAGAGTAAAATTCCATCCTTATTACCAGCTTGAAGCCTGAAATAAATCTATGTAATCTTGTCCTAAGTTTGAAACTTTCCTATTCTGCTTTAGCAAGTGGACTTTGTACAAATACGCTCTAGAGTTTGGCCAGACCTTCTTCATTTAAATCCTCTGAGGTAGAACAGCCTCAGGTCATATATAGAGGGTGTGAATGTTCAGTGGAAATTGGTGATGGTATTTCTTACAAGCCAAAAAAACCCCAACACTTGCAAGCTTAAAGAAGTTTAGGCTTGAGTCTAATCTCCAAATTGCTGTTTTAGTTTTCATGGAAATAGAGTTTTTCCAGTATTATTTCTGTCCTGCTGTTTAAGTTTATTTACTATTTATATTTTAAAAGGGATTAAAATATTTAATCCCTTTTAATATTTATTTACATAAAATTCATTTTACGTAATAAAAATAATTTTTTAAGTTTCGAGTGTGTGGTTTTGTGAAACAATAGAAAGGATCTGAATAATCCTTTCCTGCTCTGAGCCTGTTGAGTGTCAGAAGGGCTGCTTAAAAAATGAGCTCAACTTGCTGTATTCAGTGTGCTTCTTCCTCTGGATTTTCAATCTCAGTGTCTGTGGTGTTTGCATCAAAAGACTGGAAGCAGTGGGAACTGCAGGAGTCCCCAGTTCTGCTTGTAATGAAGGATGTAGTTTTATGAAGTTTAGAGCACAAGTTAGGATTGTCTCCTTAAATATGAACTTGGTTGAGCTTTTCTTTTTAGTGCAAGCAGTTTGAATATTGTTAGTTTTCCCCAACTGCTAGTAAGGGAAGTACTTTAGAATGTGTGTTGGCCTGTTTCTCCGATGAATACGTGAAATGTTTAAATCCAGGTGGAATTCAGCGTTTCCCTGAACAGTGACATTTGAAGGAAAGCTTCCATATGTAGTTAATGCAGTTTCCCTGTGCTGCTGGAAAATACGTTTGAAGCCTGCCAGCAAAGTCTTTGTTGGCACCTGAGTCCCATAACCTACTGGAATTGCCCTCCCCCATCCCTTCACCATAATATGCTTAAGCTTAAACCAATAGAAGTAATTAAGTGTAATTGATGTAGTGAATTGATTCTCAACACATTTCTGGACAAAATACTGCTGCTTCCAAAATAAAACACTCATTAGAATATAAAGAAGCACAGCCCTCACCTTGATTCACGAGATTTGACTTTTGTTTCAAACTTATTTTATAGACAGATTAACATCTCCAGAACACTGCTTGTGGTCTCCCTAGCTGTGCGTGCTCAGGCACAGATAAATGTAACTCATTATTTTGTTGCCTGGTTTGAGATTGGGAAACATGGTAATACTGGTGCCAATTTTATGTGACACAGCCAAATGACAGCTGTTGTTGCGTGTGGAATCAACAAACTTCCTCCTTAGCAAGCCTGGATTGTGGAAGAACTTGCTGTATTGTCTGCTCATGGCAATTTCAGGTTCAATTTCTTTTTTCCCTGTATTGAGGCAGGGTTATACCTACATATAAAGTTTAGTGTGGTCAGGTTTTAAGTTATTCTAGTAATTGCTTGTGAACTTGGATGGGCCCTAGATTTGTCTGTCTGCAGAGTTCACTCTGAGAACAGAAGCCCTTAAGCAAAATGAAGTTCAAATTTGGCATCAAATACACTGAAGTCTGAAATGCCAAAGCTTTGTGTGTTACTTTTTAGTTAGTAGTTCCTGGAAACTTTATTTAATAAGCTAAACCTTTTTTCATAGTAGCTCTACATGGATCACATGTTCCTGATCCATGAAAGGTTGCCCTCTCTTCCAGAGAGCATTTTCTCCTTTGAAAGCAATTGTTTGCATCCAGTTTTTTTGTATTGTATGAGCATTTGCTCTGCTTCCAGAACTCACTGCTGTTCAGCAAGTTATCAGGTACCTCACTCATCAGCATCTCTGTAAATCATTCTGGAATGATTTGAATTCATCTCAAAGCTTTTTGATGGGCTGGTAAATGTTTTCCCTCTAGCAGCAATCTGAGTAGTGGTTAAATGCCTTCATTTAGGAATAAGAGGAGTAAATGGCAGCTCCTTTCATTTTTTTCCTCCAGAATTTTAAGCCTGTTAAAAGGCCAACATTTAAGTAGTGCTTTGGGAAGGCAAACTTTCACCTAAGTTAATGTTTGTTTCATGTAAAAACTTGTATATGAACAAACTAAAAACCTTTACTGAACTTCATATAACTGTGAAGAATGGGGCTAAATGAATGCAAAGCCTTGGCAAGTTGTGCTTTATTTTATGTGCAAACAGATTTAACAGAGAAGGTAAACAAATATTTTATTTGTATTTTGGATCAGAATTCAGAAGGGAGGAATGGACAAAGTAATCTCAACTGAGGAATAAAACTGTACTAAATCATCATCCTTCTTCATATTGTGTTGTTTCAAATAACATGGAGGGTTGTTATGTTGGTTAAAATGGTCCGTCTTGTGTTTGTGTGCATCTTGAAGTCCTCACATTCTAGCAGTTATTAGTTGTGTGTTGTTCCATTGGTGTTTCATTGTTTCATTGGCATATTTAGCACATAAGATTTCTGCATTTTGGCCCTAGACTTACTAGTTAGGCTCTTAAAAAAAGGTTTGTTTCTCAGGAATATTAGCTGACACTTAGGTTATTTTGTGCTTTTCAGGTTTTAAGCTTTCCGGAGTTTTTAACTTACAGAATTTATTTTAACTTTTGAAATCTTATTAAACCCCACGTGCTGTCAGTTAGCATACTGTTAGCATTTAGAAAACAAAACTGAGGGGTGTGCAGTCACCAGCAGATCATCCATGCGTGGCAGTTATGAAATACAGAAGCCAAAGGCAAGTGGTAATTTGTTCTGACATGTGACAGTCACTCACTGTAATATGTGCAGTCAGTTCCTGAAGCTCCTCAGGGCCCAGAGGTGGCAGAGCTGTGGAATCCCACATATAATACACACCTCAGGAACTGTTTAAAACAAAACACAAAAGTTATTGGAATGAGAACCTGATCAAGACTGGCTTGATCAGAGAGTGACTGAGGGGAAGTGAAAAAACTTGAGGTCCTCAGGTTGTACCATGTGACTTGAATCTGCATCACGTCCAGGTTGATACAACTCGTTACCACCTTCTATGAGAATTAAAAGTCTAATTTATGATGGGGTTTTGAAAAGGTTCACAACAAGATTTGTTGTTTCAAAAGAAAATGAGTATTTTGTGAGGGCACTGAGCTAATTAGCCCCACCACCTGTGCCCCCAAGCAGCGAGGAAGATGTGACAATGTTTGAGGCGTGGGTTCAGTTTTAATGTTTGGTAACTGCCCAGAAGAATAAGGTTTCTGCTTACAGGGTTATACAGCTTAAAGTCAATTACTTTTAGATTATTGATGATCTCCACCCTGGAAACTAAGTACCAAAAGTAAACCTGTGTGTTCTGAATACTGCCCCTGATATTCCTTTAGTGTGTTGTTGATGGATTTGTTACCTTCTGGTGGTGTTTGGACACTGATACCAGGAATCAGCAATGGTGGTGAGCTTGTAAGGATTCAAATAGTTGGCACAAATAAGAATAATATTATTAAATCTTTAAGATGCTTAAGTTTTTCAGGATACAGCTTAAAGATGAGCAGCATGGCAAGGAGCTTACAGATTAAGATACCCAAGTGAAAATATTGTTAAATGTGAGACTTGAATCCGTGGTGATAATTCAAATGCTCATCTTGCTCCACCATCTCAGAGAGATGGAAGAGATAATTTGCTGCACTGAACATTTTACTGAAAGTTTGCTGAGAGACCTGAAGGGAGTGGTGGCTTTGGAGCCGTGTGTGCAGGGATGAGAAGACTGCCCCTTTCTCAGGGTGGCACGGAGCAACATCAGAGGAGATGTGAAGGTGCTGATGAAGGAAATAATTAAGTGGTGAGTAAAAGGAGGGTGCAGTGTGAGGCTGAGCTGTGCACAGGAAGGCAGCTCGTGCCAGCTGTGTGTTATCTGCTGTGACAGAACCCGGTGTTTGTGCGAGATCGGCGTTCCCGTGATGTGCAGGGCTGTGGATCCTCACTGAGCTGCAGCTGAAGCACTGCTGTTTTCACTGAACTCCTGATTTCTGAAGTTCCTTCTTGGGAGAGAGCCCTCGAGAGAGAGAGCCATAGAGAGCCATCAGGCAGCAAACAAGGAGCTACTTTTAGGCTTTTTATTTTGCAGCAGCTTTGTTTTAGGCAACGGAGGAGGATTTTTATTAAAGTTAACCTGCCTGCCCTCATCATAGACCATGTTAGCAGTTAAAATCCTGGTTTATATCTTGGATTGGAACAAATGTTTCTCTCCTGCTGCCAAGAGGCACAGTGCCAAGCAGTGCCAAGTGTTACCAAAGAGTCACCGTGACAATATCTTTAGTTATTCCTGGAATATGTCCATAGGCCGCTGGCCTAAAAATACACAGCAGTAGGATCATCTGGGTTAGAGCTGTAAAAGATCTCTTGGACTTTCAAAGCTCATCCTGTTGCTGGGATGTTGAGGTCTTCAGAGATTTGAATTTCGTTGTTGTTTGGGGGTGGGGAGAATGACCTTTTCCTTTTTCAGCATTGTCTATCTCCCCTCTCCCCAGTTAGGTAAAATAATCTTGAGTTAAAACTTTACTTCCAGTTTGGTGTGCTGCAGTGACAGTGATGCACCGATAACGCTGTCTTGATTCTGGTGTACAGTATTCTATTTTCTGTTCCCTGTACATTTTCACTTTTCACATATGGAAAAAGATTTTTCTGCAGATACTTCCTTCAGAAATTCACCATGGGCTTGAAAGCCATGTTTAGTTAGTTCACTAGGTTTCTGACTTTCTAGCTAGACTTGTAATTTGCCAGTGTAATTCCTTACAGTGAATAGTATTCAGACTTGAAACAAGCAAGCCAAAGGATTTGTTCTTCCATACACAGGAGATAATGAAGCAGCTGACAGATACATTTCACTTTGGAGGTAATTGAGGGCCAACTGAGTAATAGGCAGAAGGCATCAGGGTGGAGAGACAGGTGTCCTGCATAGTTAAGGAAAAATGATGTGGGGTGATTTGTTCCAGCCCATTAACTGATAATTTTGTGTGTTTCAGAACTTTGACTCGGACATCAGCAGTGTGGGCATAGATGGGTGCTGGCAGGCTGACAGCCAGAGGATCCTCAACGAGGTGATGGTGGAGCACTTCTTCCGGCAGGGAATGCTGGATGTAGCTGAGGAACTTTGTCAGGTAAGGATATGTGTGGGTGTTGAAGGTTATCAACTGTGGAAAAGATGCTTTGTGTTACCTTCCTTATTTGAATGTTCTAGGTCAATATTTAAACTGTCAGAAAACCAACAGATCAATCCCACTGTGTTTTTCATGCTTTCACTAAAAACTACCTTTTTTTTTTTTTTCCCAGGAATCTGGTCTATCAATAGATCAAAGTCAAAAAGAACCGTTTGTGGAGTTAAATCGAATATTGGAAGCATTAAAAGTTAGAGTTCTGAGACCTGCACTAGAGTGAGTCTACTCATTTTTTTCCTTCCCCCCATTTTTTTAATGCTTTTAACAAAAGAGACACCTGTTAGTGAGATTTTCTTCTGAACAAAACAATTCAGTTAATGCAAGTCAGTGGATAATGATGACTGCTCAGACCAAAACCAAGTCTGGGAATTGGTAATGTCTGGGATCTGTCAGTCAGCCTTAGACCTGGATATTTTCTCGACCTCAGTAGACTTTACAACCCTTAGACATGTAGGCTCGTGCTAAAAGCAACAGTGAGGAGGGAAAGGTGATAAATGTCTCAAGGGCTGCTGCTTTATGATTTACAGTAGTGGATACATAACTGCATGCCATTTCAGAATAGCTTTTAACTTCAAAATAAGAAAGCCCCAGAAAAACCCTCAGCCTAATTTTTAAGTTTTCATAAGCCTGGGTTGGTCTCAGAAGTAAGCTAAAAAACAACCACAAAACACAAAAACCCAAACCAACCAAACAAAACAACTAAACCAACTCTGAAGCGACCTTTTAAAAACAGAAACCGTGAAACGAAAGCAAATTCAAAATTTCCATGTTTAATTCCTGAGCATAATTCACATACTTAGGATATCTTTTTTGCATTATTCAGTTAAGTACATTTTTGTATTAACAAACATTTTCTTTTCCCTTTAACATGAACCAGCAGAGGTGTGTCAATTCAGTGCTTATTGGCATTTAGGTGCAGGGGCGCTCTGGCACTCAAAGTTCATCAGCTAAATCCTGCATTATGCCTCTGAGTCATGCAAAGTTTGACCTAAATAGTTGGCCTTCGAATATAGTTGCACAGGTGGAAAGGTGGGGTGGTTTATTGCAGTTGAATTGGCTAAATTGAAGGGAAGCAACACTGCTGTTACAACTGAAACAGGATTTACTGTCAGCTACACCATGTATTTCTTATAGTTCAAATAGTAACAGAGCTGTTGTGAAGGATAATCCCCGAGGAACAGTAATTTGCTGTTCTGTCTGTTCCCTTGAAGTCCCTCAATTCATTTTAGCTCGAGTTTGCAGGGCTTTATGCCTTACCCATTGCTTCTTAGTTGTATCTTGTAGTTTCTGCAATGAGTTAAATATTTTTCAAACAAAGGAGAAGGCATGGTTGTCCTTCAAAGGAATTCTTATTCCAGTTGAATGGGCAGACAATAGGGTGTATTGTCAGCATAGTTTTTGTGCTGGTCTCCCTCCCCCACCCTGTCTTATTTCTGTGTATAATGTTTATTCTGTTTAAACTGGACAGTGCAAAAGCTGTCTGCTTCTCTTTGCTGCTGCTGGGCACAGAGGGGCCTTATTTGTAGTGATGTTTATGTGAAAACCATAGGGAGGATGATCCACATGTGACAAAATGTCACGGTCTGGTGTAGAAGATAACCCATGTCTTAAATGCCCAGTTACTCCACAGAACTGCTGATGCCAGTGAAGGGATTTCCCATATTATTTCCTAGCAGAGGTGAGTGTTCAGGAGGAGGGATGGAAACCAATCCTGAATGGATGATCTCCATATGATAGGAGCTTGGAGAGTGGCATTGTGCTCTTTGGGCTAAAACTGGCATCAGTAAATACAGCTCCAGGAATGCATAAAGGAGCCCATGGCAGGGTCAGACTGCTGACAGTGGTGTTGAAGCAGAAAGGTGTCACACAAAGATGATTAATTACAGTCCCATGAACCAGGAAGGGGAGTATAGCAGGGTTTGTTATCCATGCAAAATCGTGGAAGGTTGGGATTAAAACAACAACCAGTCTCTCGGGCTCTGCCAGTGCTCTGTGCCTGTGCTTGGTTTAACTCAGTGTTGAAAACAAAACAAACACAAGTGGCTCCTGGTCACTGCCATGGGAAGGGAGTTGTCAGATTAATGACTTTTCCAATAGACTTTCAAACCCTTGCTGAGGTGATAGAGAGAAATTAGTATTTGTGTCTCAGAAAAAAACAGACCTCAACTGTACTTTTTTTTTTTTTTTTCAGATTTTCTTTTAATACAAATTCCAACACTTAAAAATATGTCACTTCAGATTTAAACAAAATATGACTGGCCATAACTTTTTTGTTTTCCCTTGTGGGCTGTGCAGCTTGACTTTTGTAGATGCCCAGTCTGGCCCTGCACCATTAAACTGTGTCATCTCTGCACCTCTTCAGGATCCCATTAATTTCCAGTGACTTTTCTCACTGTAATTTGGTGCTGGGGAGGAGAAATACATGTGGGGTTTTTTTTTCTGAATGGATTCTGGCCCTTTGGAGGTCAGGTTGGGTCTCCATGTGAAGGTCTGGTGGGAATGACTTCCAGGTTCCAAGCTTTTGTCTGTAATTTTGTCTTCACCTCTGTCTGTAAACAGGAGGGTACACAGGTCACTCAGAAGTGAAAACACTTAGAGTATCATTTTGAGAGGAGGTAAGAAGACAGGTGATGTGATTACCAACAGTTTTGGACAGTGCTAGAGAGTATGTGGGCTGGATGTTTTAAACCTCACTTGCTGGTTTTTTGTTTTTCTGTTGGAAGTAGGAACAGCGTGTCCCAGACCAAACACCTCAGGCCTTGCTTCTGTGGTTGCTTTCTTTTGATACAAATCTGTGCTGCCACTCAAAGAACTAAAAATGGAAAGGCTGCCTAAAAGCTCATTTGGAAAAATAGTCTCGGCCTCAGCAAGATGAAGTACTCTGTCATGTGGGTGTGAATATTGGCAGGGAGAGGATGGAGGCTCTTTTGATGCAATAGAGATTAATATCTCATTGATGGGACTGTGGACTAGCCTTAGTGTTTATTTATAATTTTTTGTCCTTCAGCTTCTTATTAGTCTGTGGTTGTTAACTTCAGGCTCTTGTTTTTGTAGCCTGGATTGAACTTTATTGCCACTATACCTGGTTGAAGCTGGGCACACTGATCATAAAAATACAGTTAAAAAAACCCCAAAAAACTTATAAAACCACCCCAAACCTCACTCACAACCCTTGGTTAGTGAGTGTGCTCTTCCTTCCTGGTGGAGATGACAGTGCTGACAGTCTTATGGGGCTGCTCATCTGAAACTGCTTGAAATTAGGGACAGTAGGGCTTGTTCTTAGTTCAAAGGCTTCATTTTTCACTGTTTCCTACTGAAAGATTCCTGGGTCTTTACAAAGCCTTGTCAGTGAAGTCAGACCACTGACACTTCCACCACAACAAATTGAAAGTGGATACTTGCTCATTAATGCTCTACCTTCTTGCTTTGAAAGCTTTACCAATACTGTAAGGATGCTTAATTTTCTTATTTTAGTATTGATTGAAGAAAACAGAGGCCTCACATACCCTTTTTGTTTTTGTTTTGGTTTTTTTTTTGAGGAACAGAGACTTCCTCAGTTCGTTACTGAAAAGTGAAAAGCTTTTTTCTTAATGGGGCCCCCACAGTGAAAATAGTAGAACTAATTAACACTAATGAGAAACAGATGTACTGGAGAACATTGAAATTTGAGGTTCTTAAGAGAGAGATTGGATTGATTTAGGCCTGACTAAATTGAATTAAGGAAAAAAAATCTGAAACAACACCCAAAGAACCTCCCAAAAAAACAAGAAAGAGATGGATGAATTCTAAATAATAAAAAAACTTCTTATGAAACGCTTTGAAAATTCCAGTTCATTTTACTCAATGTGTGTTTAAGAATTCTTTCATGTTATTTAGGAGCCAAACATTAGTGTTGTCATGGTGAATGAAACACAGCAAGTGAGAAATATTCTTATTGTCCAAGTTGAATATAACACAGAAAGCAAAGTTTATCTAGGGTAAAGTATGATATTTAGGCTGACTTCCCTTCTATTGTAAGGTCTTGATAGTGTCTGTCTTTGAGGTCCCATAGATGCAATTCCTCTCTCCAGGGCACACATATAAACATAGTGGCTTGGAGAACATGTTTGTTGAATGAGGACATAGGAAAATGTTCTTGAAAGGCTTGGTCAAACTTCTTCAGTGTGCAGCTGAAGAACTGTCAGTAATTGTTAAAATTAAGATCAAGTGTTACTAATTTATATACAGTAGGTTCTAGCTATTTCCACCTTTTGTTGTACCTAATTTAGTCTTGTCTTCCGGCCAGTGAGTGTTGAATTTTGCAGAGTTTAACCTCTACAGCAGCACCAGAAGTACCACAGTCCATATGTTGTGCACCCTGTGTAGCTCCTTTACTTATAAAAGGTCCTGCCATTTTCTCTGCTCTGTAGAGACTCTCAGAAGTTCAGGGAACAGTCATACTTCCCTTGAAATAGAGGGTAGATAATTGTGATAATTTCATAGGGTGTAGGCTGACACTTAATTACTCTTGTGTCACGTCCCATTGTGCCTCCTCGTTTCTTCCAGGTGGGCGGTATCCAACAGAGAAATGCTCATGGCACAGAACAGTTCGTTGGAATTTAAGCTGCACAGATTATATTTCATTAGTTTATTGATGGGGGGAACAGCAAATCAAAGAGAAGCACTTCAGTACGCGAAAAACTTCCAGCCATTCGCCCTAAATCATCAGAAAGGTACATTTTTGGTCACATTAAGGGGATTTAAAATGCTGGGATATGGCATCTTGTAGTAAAATATTAATCATGTTCCAAATGTGCCTTACTCCATTACTATCAGTTTGTTAAAGGCTTCTTATTTTTGTATTTAATGTATATAACCTGAATTCTTACAATTTGAATTGTCTTGTTTTCTCTTTTTTTAAGAAGACACACATAAATGTGAATGTTCGCACATTTGCTTAACATTAAGGGTTTTGACTCTTTAAATAAATGTGTAGATTACATCTATAATAGGTCTGTGCCAGGGTAAAGTGTTAAAAATGCACAGAAATGTTCTTGGAATAGTCATCTGCTACTTTCTGCTGCGTGGGGTAATACAAAGAAGTGAAACTTTTGAAAAATGGGGAACATGTGAGTTAAATGAATGATCTCAATCTGAATCCAACAAAGCCTATTTTTTTAGGGTAGTGTGTGTGTGTCAGAAAGCTTACAAAAAACTAAACCTGTCTGCAGCAGATTCCCAGGCAGCACACCCTGCCTGTGGTGGGGCAGACAACTCCCCAGTCAGTCCGTAGTGGAATGGAGTGTCCTGTAGAGGTGAGGGTGTGTGTCATTGATTCTGCCTGTTTTCCTTGTGAAAGAACTGCAGACACGAGCTTTTATTTGTTGCATAAAGCATCTCCCTGCTCCTGGTCCCTCCCAGACATTCAGGTGTTGATGGGCAGCCTGGTGTACCTGCGGCAAGGCATCGAGAACTCCCCGTACGTTCACCTGTTGGATGCAAACCAGTGGGCTGACATCTGTGACATCTTCACAAGGGATGCCTGTGCTCTCCTGGGCCTCTCAGTGGAATCACCTCTCAGTGTTAGGTAATGCTGCTTTTCCTTTGCTTTTGAAGCCAGGTTCGTTATGGTTTGGTTTCTGTTTCTTATTGAGGACCAAAGAAATGGCCTTTGGGAAGTAGTCTCATCTAGCTTGCATTAAATAAAGAATATAATTACATTTAGCTCTAACCAGGTTTGCAAAGGTTAGAAATCAGAGGTTCCTGTGTGTTGAGCTTTACCCTGCACCACTGCAGCTCAAGAATAAGCGTTCCTGAATGGAATTTGGCTTCTGAAGTTTAGACACAAGTGTGAAAGATGAGGATGGCAATCAGCCAGTTACTCTCAGCAAAATTGTGACAACTGTCCCTGCTGTTTAACTGAAAAAAAAAAACCTAGAACTGTGGCCATGATTCTGTCAGCATTTGATAATTTTGGTTTTTAATCCACACATTACTGGTCTTCTTAGAAGAATGCTTAAGAGTTATGTTGTAATTTCAGCTGCTAAAATTTCTGAATTGTTTGCTGGACCTCATTTGCAAAGAAAGAGGCACTTCTAAGCTCGGTAGCTAACTTGACAAACTGCAAATCTGTAGGAGGCAGTTGGAAATGTGAAGGAAACCCAACCTAATCTCCTTTGAGCTCCAAAGATAAAACAGATTAGCTGCTATTTAGCCTTTGCATGTCAATACCCCCAATATACCCACCTGATGTTCTCATTTTTATTTCAGACATTAAATAGAAAATAAATGATATATATCTTTTAAGGCTAGATTTGGTACTTAGCAGAAGCTTCACTACCTCCTCTTTTTGGGGGGGCTTTTTTTTTCCCGTTTCTATTTACTGTTGTTAGACTTCTGTGCTTAGTTTAGAACTCGTAAATTGTCAAGCCTTCTGTTTGCATCTCAGTCACAAAATACAACAGAAAGAACAAAAGGAGCACTTCAGATTGTCTTTCTGCAATAGACTTACAAGTTTCATTTTGAGGTTTTTATAGATATCCAAAGCTTATATCTCTGTTTTATGGCTTTCATCTTTCTCCTGTTTCATTCAAATTAACAACAATCCTTTTCATTTTTGTTGCTCGTGCACTGATGCTCCAATGCAGTTTTCAGTGCAGATGGCCAAGAGATTTTCAGTGAAGTGGAAAATCTCTATTACTGATGTTTGGAGGGGTTGGACATTTGCTTTGCTCCTGATGTGGAATTGATTGCTCTGAAATGTATTTACTGTATAGGTGGTATCAATACTCTTGTCATAAATAAGACTGTTCTAAATGGGTGTGACCTTTGAGTGCTACAGATCCTTTAGGAATTAAACCAGCGTGAAGTGAAATCCCTGCTATGAAATACATTCTTTCTAGAACATGAGCAATGGGCACTTTTTTAAGGCTGATTGGTTTCTCCAATATTTATCTGATCCTATACAGGCTCATGGTCTGAGTTTATGTGTGGAGACAGTGGGATAACTCTTGTAGTGTGGAGGTTGTGGTTCAGGGTCTTGAAGGACTACAGGACACCATTTGAATTTACTGTTTACTTGAATTGTTACACTTTTAAAGGGCTCTTGGGAGATGTTTTCTTGCAGAACCATTAAAGCAGTAATGCTTGTCTTTCTACAAATACTATCTGTCTGAACTTTTTCACAGGGTTAATACAAATTACAGTCAGGGCTGAAGTAACCAAAAAGCAAAGTGTAAGGATTGAAATGGCCAGTTGGTGAGGATATGATTTTTAAAAAATTTTTTTTTGTAGCTTAGGCAAGAGATCCACAGGTTTCAGGCATATCCTTCCCAAGTAAATCAACCAGAATGTTCCTGCAGAAATACAGAAACAATTATCTGGAAGGACAGAGTGGAGATGAAGGGCATGACTTCTGCAGACAATAAAACTTGCACAAATAGTAAAATAATCTGCCAAACAAACAGAGCAGGCTGATACCAATGTCAAATCTTCTGTTGCTGGTGATTTCCAGGCCTGTAGTAGTGTCAGTTAGACTTAAATCCATCAAATCATCTGTTAATTTTTTGGAAACTCAGCGTCATATTTTCTTTTGTAACATGCTGAAATATTTCCAAATGATGTGGTAAATTCCAGTAACGGGCAACTCCCAGAGGAGGCTGCACTGTTGGGACACAGACTCTGGGCAGTTTTATACTGCTGTTCTTGTCACAGGGCATGCTTTCCCTCCTTCACTTACCTTCCTAGGGCTCTTCTATGTTTCTTTTCTTGATTTAAGGTGAAGGTGGAAAGACATGTTTCTTTACATGGTAATTAGGTATAATTAAAGGATTTTATGGGTTGTGTGTACGTGTGGGTTACATAGAAGCTCTTAGGCTGCACGTGCTCTTCCATAGCTGAGAGCAACCACTTGTGTGAGGTGAAGTGGTGTCTTTCTCCTGTACAGGTCAAAGTCAAAGTAGGTGCTAGAGAAAATCAATTTATTACAATACTCAGAGGGGGGGATTAACTGTTGTTTTCTGTCCAGAATGTAGTACGTGAGGGCCTCAGCCTAAAATACAGGATAACTGATAACCCACCCCAGAACCCTTGCTTGTCTCTACTTCTGAGCTCCTTCCAGGTATAACGAGATCTGAATGAAATAGGACAAAACTCTTATGTCCCAGTTAACCTTTGAAGCAGAAATGTGAAAAATGCTCGTTTCCTAGCAGGTACTTTATGTTAACATTTCCCTTTTCTGCAGTTTTTCAGCAGGTTGTGTAGCATTACCAGCTCTAATTAATATCAAGGCAGTTATTGAACAAAGGCAGTGCACGGGCGTTTGGAACCAGAAGGACGAACTCCCGGTGAGTTGATGCTGAGCTGTCCAGGACAGATTTCTGATGGCAAATGCTGTTTTCAGGTTTCTTTTGTGCTGAATGTTATGGGATGTTATACATGGCCTCCACCTCCAGCAGCCTGGGGGTTTGCAGGGCCCTGGGGCTCACAGACACCCACACACACAAGCACAAAAGGACACTGACACGACCAGACCAGCTGCACAGGCTGCCACAGACACAGCTCTGCCTTCAGCAGCACCCACACACAAGGATTGCATAAAACATAAGTACAGATAGCCAAGGTCCCTTCCTCCTCTTTGGCTGGTAAAGATTGAAATCCACTAGTGAAAGCAGAAATGCACCACTCCAGATTCACAAGCAGGTATGTGTTCATGGGCACTCAAATATTGGCATGGCCCTTCTGGCCTGTTTTATACCTCTTTCTGGCCATTCCTTCCCTATCCCCTTGCCCTGCACTTTCTTCCTGCAATTTGTATAGTTCTGCTGACCCCCTGTCCTCTGAGACCCTCAGGTTTGCATTGATATCTCTTGCAAAGTCCAGGTTTGGTTGCAGTTTATTGATGACCTCTTAGTTAGTGTGGCTGTCAAGGTTGTTTCTTGTTATTGTCTCTATTCTCTCTCTTTGTCAGGTTTGTACCTCTGGATATTGTTTGATGCTCCCCCTTTCACTTGTTATCCCCTTTCACATTGAAAGGGTCTTTGATCAAATGACCTTAAAGAAACAGGCGCTCTCTCCTTCTACTTATTCTGTTTCTGTATAACTGGAAAGAAAATGGATCCCACAGGGAAACATTAACTTCCCCTACCTAGGCTTGAGCTTAGTCCAGGGCTTGCTTTGCACTGGCTCTTTATCAGGCAGACAGGAGATGAAAGAATTAGTGCTGCATCTGGGGACACAGCAGTTGGGATCCAGTGCATTATGCTTCCAGCACATCTCATTTATATCAGTTGAAATGAAGTTCAGTTGTTATGAAACCCCAGTTTCCCTTTATAGCTCTTACCAAGCATGTGCAGCTCTCCAGTGACCTGCTCCTGATTTGGAAAGGAAACCTATTTAGTGCAAACTGGGCATGAACTGAGTTACCCTCTTCGACTGCAGCTGGAAGAGATTCATTTATAGTGTAAGGATGTGTGTTGAGTTTCTCCCAGCTGTGTTTTCTGTAATGCTGAGAATGTAACCTCCAAGTGTGACAAATTCCTGCCCTGCTGTCCAGATAGGAATGATTACCTAGGGAGAATTTGGAAAAAGATTGCTGTTTGATGTAGAGCAGTTAATAATACACATGTGTCTCCTTGCATTTTCTAAACTGGAGGATCTCTGATGTGTTCTGCTGAGGCAGTAGGGGTGTGGAAAGCCTTATTTTCGTTGTGCAAAGGCAGAGATTAAGTAGCATGAAAAGGTCACATTGTCAGGTTTGGTTGAAGGTTAAACCTTTTGAGGACTGGTCAGAGCCAGCAGTTTTAGGTACACAGGCAGTTATTTTTGTAGTTCCCAGTTAATTGCTGAAGCCACAGACCTGTTTTTCTCTGTTACATGCCCCTTCCTGACATAATTTTGTTCTTGGGGCAAGAGTTGTGCTGCACCAGTGTCTTCTGTGTTGGTACTGAAAATTAGTGATTCTAACCCCCTTCATTAGTCACAAGACGTGAAGGCGTTGGGAGAGTCTTTCAAGAAGCTGTAGAACATTAACGTAGTCAATCCAAGGATTTTTCTCTTTTTTTCTTTCTCCCTTAAATAAAGTCTGTCATCTAAATCACTTTGTATTTCCTAGCCAGTGATTTCCTGAAAGTCTTGCTGGGTCACAGCTCAGTTTTCCTGCCAGGGCATAGATTTGCACTGACATATGCACTTGTCCCTTGGCAGAATACTCTGCTTTGATGCTTCTGCCCATGCCCAACATAAATCACCATTTTAAGATCACAGTTAAGTATTTTTGCCTGGGAAATTGTCAGGTATCCACACAATGGGTTTTGCTGCCTTCACAGCCGAATTGAGAAATCTGTTAAGTAAGGGCCATGACCTGAAGGGATAATTATCTGGAAATGCAGTTTCCCAAGATAAATTTTTCTGTTGATTTCTTTCACAGATTGAAGTGGACCTTGGTAAAAAGTGCTGGTATCATTCAATATTTGCCTGTCCCATCCTTCGTCAGCAAACAACAGATAATAATCCACCTATGAAATTAGTCTGTGGTCATATTATATCAAGAGATGCTTTGAATAAAATGTTTAATGGCAGCAAGTAAGTACCATTCTTTTATTTCAAGCAACATACAGACAAAGGCCAATCTTAAGACTAGAATACTGTGCTTTGGGAAAACTGAGTCCATAATTACATAATCAGTGGAAGGTTGTTAATCTTGGAGAATGGTTTAAAAGCCAGATAAGCCAGTTTGATGCACTGGAGAAAAGCATAATAAACCCTCTGGTGTTGTGAAAAGCGAGTTTATGTGAAGGAATTTAATGAGCAGAGTAATTTTTCAAGTTATAAGTCCCATTGTGTTGTCTTAAATTCAGAATGGAGGCCTTTACACACACAGTTTTTCCTTGAGAGCAAGGTTAGTAATGCATGAAACATCCCTTAAAAATAAAATCAAACCTCTGGGGAAATACAGCTTAGTAATTGAGCAGGTAGGGGAATTATCGCTGTGAAAATACTCCTCAGGTATGTGTGGCCTGCCTGCAGGCTTTTGGGAAGCAGAAAATGGGAGAGAGAAAGCTATACAGATTTTCTTGAGGAAGAACTGGTGGTTGTTTGGATATAATAGATGCAGCTTCCGTGGAGGCTGTCAGCTTAATTTAGAGCTGTAAGTTGTTTTGGGAAATTCAGTGTGAAAATAAGTGAGACCATGAATGAAAATGCCGACTGATGTTTGTGTTCTGTGCCCTGTTAGAGAAGCCTGAAGGGATGCCTTTCTGGGTGACTTTAGCCATTTTAAGCCAGTAAACTTGCTGCTCTATCATTCCTGTGCCCCATCACTCATTCCTGATGCTTTCATTGATCAGCTTTCCTGACAGCACAGCTCTGACAATATTAACTCAGGGTGAGGGTGGAAAAGGTAAAAGGCCCAAATGTGACAGATGGGGGGGAAAATGGACCAGTGCTAGAAGAGACATTATAAGCAAGTAGGATTGTATCACTGGAGACCTCAGCAGGGAGGCCAGGCTGAGGTCTTCAGTCATAACCTGCAGGAGCTGATATAAATGGGTTGTAAAATCACAGCGTTTTGAGAACCAGACAGTAAAATGCACTGGGTGCTGAGGGAAGCCACCAGCTGATCTAAAATTACTGCAGGGCCAGGCTGGATGGGGCTCTGAGCAACCTGGTCTAGTGGAATGTGTCCCTGCCCATGGCAAGGGGGGTGGAACTGGACGGTCTTTAAGTCCCTTCCAACCCAAACCATTCTATGACTCTAAAATACAACAAGAGAATCCAGAAGTAGAAATAATAGCTACGAAGAAATTCCTCTTCATGATTAATCTAATAATTCAGAGGCATGTGGGTGGAAGGTGAGAAAGACTAGAAAGAAAAACATCATAAGGTCTCTCTCAGCTAAAAGTGACTTTCAGTGGAGACAAGTAAAGTGTTGTGGCTTAAGAATGCAGTTGTTTCATGCTACAGTGGTAAAACTTGATACCTTTAATGCTCAGTTGTCACACATTGCCCCAATTCTAACACGTTATTTTTGTCCCCAGATTAAAATGCCCCTATTGTCCAATGGAACAGAGCCCTGGAGATGCCAAACAGATATTTTTCTGAAGAAAAGTTTCATTATGCAGTTTGTAAGTGACACTCTGGATTTCAGGTGCATTTCAGGAGAATTAAAACACATTTGTTCCCTTTTATGCAGCAGACTGAGGACTCCTGTGTTTGTATAAGCTAATGCTACAGAAACTTTGCCAACATTTAGTATATACATACCAAGTGGAAATGCTACAGAAATATTATTACCATAGGGCTTTACTATACTCTTGGTCTCCATACCTGATCAAGTTACTACACCAGCAGTTGTCATTCAATGCAGGTTTTTGTACTTATAATTATATGGTGACTTTTTACTTTTTAAAGGCAGAAATTGATCACCCCCATTTGTTTAATATTCTTCCTGCTATTATTCTATCATTTTATTGATAACTGTCATCTTAGAGAATGTTTGTGGACAAAGTTTTATTTCCTGTAATGTGTACATAATTAAAGGTAAATACTTCAGAAAAAAAAAAGGTTTGATAAATTGAATAGTCGTTATAAAACTAATTTGTATTTTTTTCGCTGAAAATGCTGTGATATATTCTGAGTTTTTCTTTCAAACATTTTTTCAACTTTTACATAGAATTCAAAGTAAATGTGCATATATATAAAGTATATAAAATATAGCCCCAAGGGGCTACCTGTTAAAATCCATCACTAATTTATAAGGGTGATGTGTGGCTAAACTACTACTGGGGCAGAGAGGGAATAGGTAATCCTGTTCCTTTGGTTTCACGATGGAGAAGTGTTTGTGTAAGAGAACACTCAATAAATTCTGAAGTGGAAATGCTTTTAGTCGATGACATTTGCTCTCTGGCCTTTGTAGTCATGTTCTTTGAACTTTGTATTCAGGATTAGGCTATAAATGTCATGTTGCTGTATAGTTTAATAGTCCTTATAGTGTGCTATTTATAAACAGTTATCAAAACCAAATAAATTGTAGAAGTATTCATTGTTAAATGGGGGGAAAGCATGTTCTGATGCAACCTACTGATCACAACTCTGCACTTGGCAGAACTGGGCCCTACATCATATATTAGGAGGTAGCAAGTTTTCTGTAGCTTGAGAACACTTTGCTTCTAGCCTTGTTTTTGTAGTAGAATATTACTGCCATTGCCACTTTTTCTGCTGAATTTGTCATATTGTTGACTAGGTAAATTTGTACTCATAACGGAGACGTAGATCATGGCAGTTAAATCTTTTTTAGTGTGCATATATTTGTATTTATTGCACTGTCCTATAGTAGGGCAAGCAGCCATAAGGCATGCAAAGCTACATGTAAAATTATATTTCTGTATTGTGTAGTTAAAAAAAACAAAACAACCAACCAACCCCAAGCTTCTGTGGTTGAACACTGACACACTGGTTGAATGCACTAGCACAAATGCACTACAGAGAAGACCGTCTTTGGGAAATCTACACCTTTTGAATTTGTCTGTCACCTGACTGGAGACACTGAGTCGGACTCTTATCGGATCAGTGACAATGGACAAACCTACAGAGACATTAAAAAGAGGAGCGAGTCAAGGCACACAAATTTTAAACTTCAGATGTGTTTGATAACATGTGAAAAATACAGGTGTGTGATTTTTTTTTTTTTTTCCTCTGCAAAACTTACATTGTATTCACACTGAGTTCAAAACAGCCGCGTTACCAAGTGGTAAAATCAACAATAAACGGGTGAGGATATTATTTTCCATGTAGGTTTCCTAGTCTTCCTGGAATTGCTTTTAATCTTTTCTGTTGACTGCAATTGCTTAATGCTTTGGATTTATAGAAATGGCATATGAAGTATATAAAAAATAAAAAACAACAACAGAAAAACAACCAGTAATAACAACCTCCTCCCCAAAAACGGCCTGAAATATGAGTGCTGCATCTTCCTCTGTTACATTGCTGGTATTTTGGCAGTGGTGTGAACACCAGTCAGCGTTGATAGCTTAGAGTCCAAGAATGGCATTATTAAATGGAAATAGGGTACAAATTCACCTTAGGTATTAAATATCACCTGAACTAGTGCATGCTACAGATCCATAGCTAATTCAAAAGCTCAGCTGTTTTTACCACATGATTGCAATTCTCTTCCTATCTGTATGTTACAGAGTCAAAAATCCTTGCCTGCAGTTGTGTAGTTCCACCAAGAGATGGTGCTCACCGTTCAGTATTGGGAGCTTGTGTGCTCATCATAACGGGATGCTGTGCTGGGTGGGCATTTGGGAAACAGCTCTGCAGTTTGGTTGGCACAGATTCCCAGTTTGCCCTGTGAGGTGATGGGGGTTCTGTCCTGCTGCTGCCTGATACGATTCTGGTAACTGGAGAAAGTGCTTGCAGAGGAAAAGTGAATAATACTCTGAGGTTTTTATTCTTTGTAAAATATGGTGGTGTGCATGTATTGTCCCTGATAGGGTTTGGGAATATCCATAGTAAAAAAGTATTTATTTTTAGAACCACAGTGGTACCTGAGGTCTGTCTCCATTACACTTTTGGACCAGGTTGTGAAACCTTTAACTAGTCTCTGCGTGCAGCAAGTGCCTTTTAGTGAGTGTGTTGTGGGAGGGAAGAGGCTCAGCAGATTTCTGTCTGTATCCAAATCACCGTTCCACTCCTGTGACTCTGCTGGGCTTGCTACTGGTGCTTCCTCCCTTCTTTGCAAACTGTGCCAGAACTTCTCTGCAGCAGTAAGAGCACAGTTAGTTGTGCAGATGGGCCTTAAGCCAAGAAGTTTTTGACCATCCTTGTAGGAACATTTTAGTTTAGCTTATGGGCACTCTGAAAGTAATGGATATTTATAAACTTGATTTTCGTAGTGGCAGCTTGTTAGTCGTGTTAGTTCTATGCCTGTTAATAGGCTGAGTTTTAGTTTTTAGAAATGCCCTGAAATAGGAAATCTATATGTTCTTGTGGGATTTCAAGTCTGAGTTGCGTTATAAAACATAATCAAACCTTAAAAATGGATAGTAGGAAATGAAAATAGTGCCTTTTTGATCTCCAAAGGTAGTGCTCATTTTTGTGGCACTATGGCTGTCATTAGCACAAAACTCATGTCCTCAGCTCCTGTTAGTACTCTCGATGTTCAGCTGCTCTGTGAAGTATTTTTTAATTAAGTATTTTCCTGCAGTGACCTCGTCACTGCACATTGCAGCTACATATGGCTGAACAAACGATCTTCCCTCCTGAAATCAGTCTTCCTCTGTGGAAACACTGTATTGATTTCAGTCTCCTATTTGTAAGTCAGGTTAATTAACGTGTGGAGAAACTACTGTGAAAACTGTGTTACCATTAACGAGTCAGAGCTCTTGATCCCTGTTCCTGTTGCTTTGATTCTTTCTTCTTGACGCTTTACAGGATGGCTGCTGCTAAAATTCGAGGTTGAAGTTATTTATCACTCAGAGCCAACTTGCCCAGTTTAATGCAGTAAGTTTGGGTTAGGTTTTCTTTGCAAGGTTTGTTTGCCCACTGCAAGATACAATTTTTCTTTCTGTGCTTATCACTTCAGAGGTTGATTTGTCTCTTGAGTGGGGAGGGATATCACGCTCCTTAATTCATCCCAACTCATGCTGTTTTCTTTTTGCGAACAGGAGACTGCAGTGTAGGGAACAAAACTTTTGAGAACAAGAGAAAAAAAGAGTGTGGCAGCAATGATTTATAGTGAGTAAAGCTGTAATGTGGTGTTACATCACTATTCTGAATTTAATTCAAGTCCTAATATATAAAAAGGAAGAGTGGTTTACAAAAATGTGACTTAATCTTCCTTTATGACTTCAAATTTGCAATAAATTAGGAGTCTTATAGAGAAATAGGGAAAATGGAGTTGTTTACAGCCTCCTACAAGCTCTTACTGAGTCGTGCTGTGCCCGTATGTAGGAACTGCTGTTTTGGCTCGCACTCACTTGTAATTTTTTCAGGACCTGCTGTATCTTTGTATTCAAATGCAAAAACCCTGGAAGTGTTGTCCAGTTCCTATTCCACTTTAGAACTAACAGTTTTTCATTTTCCAGGGCATTGTTTTGCAAGAGCACAATCCCAGTGCAGGCTGGGACAGAGACTCAGTGCTGAAGCTGGTGGGTGCTGTGACCTGGACTGCAGTTACGGCTGTGACTTTTCCTTTACTTTGGCTAATGAAACAAAGGCGTGGGGAAGGTGCAAATAGTGTCTCAGTTCAAGTCTTAAGCATCATCCATGAGGCATTTGGTTGTAGAGAGAGGAAATAAATATACAAACACAATCCCCCCCAGTCCCCCCCAGAACCAAGAGCAAATTCAGTATTTTCCAAGGTTTCTGATTTACACAGGAGGTTTCCAGGAATGTGGAGCACAAACAGATGTGATCGATCTCCCGTGACAAAAATTTACATGTATTCAATTTAGTCAACACAGCTCAGGATGAGAATCCACTGATGGATACGTCATGCTGACCCTACATGTCAAACAGATTTGATGTCAGATGAATCAGAAGGAAGAAACCTATTTACAGGAAGGTCATTTCCACTGCCTCTTTACTGTTCTTCCAGGATTTGTGTACTGTTTTTACTTGCCTAATTCGCTTTTCTGTCCTGAATCTGCAGAAACAGCAGCAGGGGTGTGGTTTCTGGGAGTGGCTTCCAAGCGTTTGCACAACATGCAAGTGCTTAATCTGAGGAGTCTGGGTGGAGCTCAAGTGCCTTCCCTGTGCCAGATCATCTCTCAAATACAGATGTGGACAGACGAAGTGACTTCACCTGACCAGTCCAGTTACTGGCTCTTCTGGGGTCATCTTGGCTGTATTTTGTATCTGGAACTTATTTAACTCATCAAAATCCTTTATCACCCAGAAAATATTACTGGGCAAGTGAAGCACTGGAAGGGGTAGAAGCAGGGGTCTATAGACACATTCTGGATGCTCTGTGTTGTGGGGGCATCTGATGCCTCCCTCATCTTCATAAGCTTTCACTTGACTTTGGGGGCTGGGTGGCTCTTTAGGGAGGATGTGGAGAGGCTTAGGTTGGATGTTAGAAGAAGGTTCTACACCAGAGGGAGGTCAGGCACTGGAACAGGCTCTGCAGGGTGGTGGTCACAGCACCAAGCCTGCCAGAGTTCAAGAAGAATTGGGATGATACTCTCAGGCACATGCTGTGACTCTTGGGAATGGTCCTGTGCAGGGCTAAGGCTTGGACTTGAGGATCCTTGGGGGTCTCTTCCAACTCAGAATCACTGTGTGATTCTGTGACCTTGGATAAAGAGATGATGCTCGGCATCTGTGGCAAAATGCAGGGGAAAAGAAAATTCCTGAAGAAATTCAGTTCTTGTTCAGAATTTGGGCTCATTTACAGTTATCAATTCCTGATGGTGCCTCAAGGATTTTTCCTTGATGACTTCCCTAGAGATCCCGACTGATGCTGCTTATGCCTGAGGTAGGATCAGGCACCCCAGCCTGCTCTCCCCCATCCCTCTGGGGGTCCATAGCAGCTCCCTCTTCTCAGAAGTCACGCACGAGCCTCATCCTTTGTCTGCAGGCCCCAGGTTGCATTTCTTGGTAGGAATTCTGCATCCTTCACTTGAGCACACTCAGTAGATCTGATGCTGATGGCAGAGCCAAGAATATTTTCGTACCCAGCGAGACGCAGGGGGTTCATGGCATAGATCCATGTGTATAATTTATCTCCAAACACAGGAGTTGCTGGCACACACCTTGGTTCTTCATTTGCTGGATTGTTCTCTTTGCAATTCTTCTTTGGTCAATTCTTTGCAATTGCTCAGGAAGAGCCGTTTCGTGCAAGGAAGGTGGTCTGTGAGCTGAACTGCCCCATACCCAGGGGTATGATTTATGTTTTCTTTGCTTTTACAACTTGTGGTTCTCTTCTCTAACCACAGGAGCTTCCGCCCTGCCAAGAAAACCCCTTGTATGTGTCACTGGAGGGGGCCGTTTCTGCTGCCTCTGGGTGACCACTGCCACATGGGGATGGGTGATGCTTCCTGGAGCTTTGCACATATGGGCTTTCCTGTTGATTATTCTTCAGTGTAAGGTGGGGGGTTTTCTGTGTGTGTGCATGGGGTTTTTTCCTAATTTTTTTACGTTTTTTTTTTTTATTACTCCTTCACAAAGAAAGCCCCTTTTTCCTGGGTCTGTCAGAAAGGAGGTGCTGCTGACTTTGGTGCCATTGCTGTTGGGGCTGCTACTCAGAGCTGAGTTATGGAAAATGGTTTAGGAACTGGGTTTATTTATTTGGGTATCACACCACGTTGGTGAGTGAGGAAAGGTGCTGTTAGGCTGCCGAGAGGTGTGAGGCTCTCTGGTGCTGTGTGACCTGTGCCCTGTGGAGGGTTGGTTGGAGGATCAGTGTGAAGATGCACTGAGGGAGGCAGGAGCCATCCCAGAGCCTCCTGGGTTTGGCATTGGGCTGAAAAGAGACCAGCTGCGTTCTTGTGATTGTGAACTACAGGTCAAAAATCAATAGATTCAACTGTGCAGCTGCGTACAGGGGGTTAATCACCATTGTAAGTGTTGAAATTCTTTTCCTAGATGTTGATTTCCTGTTCAAATGGAGACTTTTCAAATAACAACAAACAAATCCCCCTAAAACAAACAAGAAAAATGCCAGACCCAAAGATACCATGCTTCCAGTTCTTCCACACATTCATCTGCAGTGTCAGGAGGGCTTTGGCTGCATCCATCTTGCTGCAGGACCGTGATCTTAGTGCAGCAATGCACAGTGGAGCATCACTGT